AGGCATTACCTAAGTGTATTAGATTATTATTAACAGTAGTAAATTAGTATTATTATTTTGAAGTGCAAAGATAAATATCAGAAGAAATAGCTAGAGAAGCTAAAAGTGGCTGCCACTGGGGAGAGGGATCTATGGGTGGAAGGGACAGTTCTGGGACTGTTTTGGTTTGTGTTTTTTTTCCCCATTAAAAGCCTTGTAGTATAATTTAGCTTTTATTATTAGCACCACGCTCTAACCAACTGAGCTAACCGGCCAGCAGTTAATTTAGCTTTTATATTAGATTACTTTGAAAACTGTCAGAAATTAATTGAAAGGAAAATCCCTAACTCTCATCTGAAATACAGATAAGCACAAGTTTGACACTATGATGCTGCGCAAAGGGCCCAGTAGTAGCATTCCCTAAGTGCACAAAGGGCTTTCACGGCCCCAGCTGTGGCCTGAGGGCTGACTCTGCATTCGAAGACCTATAAAGTGAACTCAGAAATAGCAGTAGCAGCAATAACAAAAAACCAAGAAACCACCCAAGGCAACATGTGACTGAACACCAAATGACAGTGCAGTGTGTGCAGGACAGACCTCTGCGGCTGGAGTGGTCAAGACAGGCTTTGTGGTGTGAAACTTCCTGGTGGTGTGAAGGCTGGTAAGGCCTTGGAGAGGCTGAAGGGGGAACGTAAGGCATTCCAGGAGGTGCTCAATGCCAGCCTGAGGCGTTGGTGTCTGTTTCTCCAGCCCAGGCTACTTCTATTGATAGGATATTTTAGGGAAACAGATTAGTGTAGTATTTTAAAACCTGGGCTCTGAATTTGAATTCTGCTACCTCCACTGACCAGTTATGTGACTCAGGCAAGTTACCTAAATCTCTTCAAACTTCAGTATACCCAACACCAGGAAAAGGACTATTACATCTCAGGGTTAGTGTGAGAAGTGGATGTAGCAGCAATCCTCAGCACAGCAGAGTAAGCACTCATGGTAACTATTGTAGGAAACTCTACAGGATCAACAGCCTGGTCTCTTCAAGAATTAAATTCAAGGGAAAGAAATGTTACAGATTAAGAATTTTAAGAGACATATCAACCAAATGTAATGTGTGAACCTTGTTTAGATCCTGATATAAATAAATCAATTGCGATAAAGAAAAATTATAAGACAATTGGAAAAAATTTGGATACTGATTGCATCTCCGATATTAAGGAATTACTGCTAATTTTTTAGGTGTGATAGTAACACTGTGCATTTTTTAAGGGGATCATTTGGAGATACATAAAGTATTCACAGATAAAAGAATATAATATCTGAGAATTATTTTTTAATTGATTCTTAGAAAGAGAGGAAGGGAGAGGGAAAGAAAAACATACAATGGCTGCCTCGAATGGAACCGGCAACGTTTGGGTGCACAGGATGACACCCAACTGAGCCACACCAGCCAGGGCTGGGAATTGTTTTAAAATAATCTAACGTGTTCCCTGGCAGGGTGGCTCAGTTGGTTGGAGTGTTATCCCATGTTCGATCCCCAGTCAGGGCATGTGAGGGAGGCAACTGTTGCCTCCTGATAAGATGTTTCTCTATTATATCAATGTCTCTCTCTTTCTCCCCCCCCCCCTTCTTCTCTCTAAAATCAGTAAAAATAACATATCCTCAGATGACAATTAAAAATAAAATTTTGCCGAAACCGGTTTGGCTCAGTGGATAGAGCGTCAGCCTGCGGACTAAAAGGTCCCAGGTTCGATTCCGGTCAAGGGCATGTACCTGGGTTGTGGGCACATCCCCGGTGGGGGATGTGCAGGAGGCGGCTGATCGATGTTTCTCTCTCATCGATGTTTCTGACTCTCTATCTCGCTCCCTTCCTCTCTGTAAAAAATCAATAAAATATATATATATAAAAATAAAATTTTTTTAAAATGATAATCTAATGTGAGGGGATACAGATGAAGATTTGCTTACAAGTGTTGCAGCTGCATGACTGATGTATGGAGTTTGGCTGTACTATTCTTTCAGAAATGTTTGAAATTTTCCCTAATAAAAAGGTTAAAAATAAACTGAGTAAATGATAGCTTTTATGGTCACTCTATTTTCAAGGGTGCACACTAGAATGTAAGTAAGGATCAGGGCTCATCTTTCTTATCCATTCCCTTTCCCAAAGGGTCTAGGTTTTCCTGGTATGGTACAAGCCCAATCATGTAAACCTGGATCATATCTACTCGCTCTCTTGCTTTTTAAAACACTCTGAAGCCTTGCCTCTCCTGTAGGGGTAAAAACTCTAATTCATCATAAGGCTGTCTACTTTTTAGAGGCCCTGCCTATCACTTCAGCCTCAATTCAGATCACTCTTCTCTTCATATTCTGAGGTTGGCCATTTTTGTTCCTCAAATGAGTCATACTCTATCCGACCACAGACCCTGGCACATGTCATCCCTACTGCCCATGACATTCCTCCCCTCACTCTCTCTCCTCCCAACCACTGTTGCCTAATTACCTCTTACTCTTTCTTCAGATCTCAGCTCAATCTTTACTACTTCCTCTAGGAAGCCTCCACTGACCAGACTCCCAAAGCTGGGTAATTCTCCCTCATATATACCCTCATATGCTCTCATGTACCTCTCCTTTTCAGGACTCTCAACCATAATATTAAAATTTTGCTATTGTTGATCATTGCATCCCTAGCATTTGGCACAGGGCCTGGCCTAGAGCAAATGACCAATAAATATTTGTTGAATAAACCAATGAGTAAATGATGACTCATTGACTCAGCATCTTCCCACGTACTGCCTCCAAGACCTCACTCAAGTGTTCTTGAAATGCCTGGCATCAAAAGTTCTAGTCTTCTCACCAGTCATCGCCCACGTTGAAGGCATTAAGGCTCTTGGTGAAGCCTTGCATATTGGTGGGGCTCACTCTCTGCAGGAAGTCAATGTAGTCCTCAGAGTGGAAGCGGCACATGTCATGCTGGGAGGCCTGGTATGGCTTGAAGACCTCAGGACAGAAACACAAGGTGAATCCAGGCAGGGTCAGTCTCAATCATGGAGCTGAGACCACCTATGCTGAACCAGTCCTGGGGATTATCCAAAACCACACCTGCAGTACCCTTGCCCCTAGTCCTTGTTAGGCTGAGGCAGAAGAGAGGCTCTGATAAGCCCGGTGGTTTATTATGATCGAGTCCCCTAAAGACCACTGGACTTGCCTTTTTCCTTCCCGCCTCCAGCCGAGCCTTTCCTACCTTCTAACGGTGAGCCCCGATCCACTGCCCTCTTCCCTGGATCTCCTCCCCTGGGCTCTGGTTCTGCTCTTTCTGTCTCTGAGTTCTTTTGGAATCAAATAATATGGCATGTATGAACATCTTTTAATTAAAGCTCAAAGTACCCAGGTGCTAAGCCAGAGATTTATCTTTGTTTTGGGGGTGGTGGTCACATGCTTCTTTAGAAATTGGGCAAAACCAAAAAGCCTTTCTCTCCCCAGAAAATGTACATAGGTATATACCAGCACAAGATTTCAGGAATTCATAGATTCACGCACCAACAACACCTCAATCTCTTCTATGACCAATTCACTTGTCTGTGCCTCAGCACAAGCAGTGGACACTCATTCATACTTTGACTGATTCCCCTTGCAACGCATGTGGGCTGAGCTTAACTGTTATAACCGGGTATCACAGCTACAAATTCCCAGCCTGGGACAGACAGCATGTTTTCCTGGGAGATGAAGGGTTGGGTAGTGGCTACCTGTGTGGGGTATTCTAGGTTGAAAAGGTAATACCCAGGACATCTGCTACCTTCACATACACATTTACACGGAGGGCTGTGGTCCTCCCTGGAGCTTCAGCTCCTTGGTGGTGGAGGCGGGTTGCAGAGGAGAAGGGATAGAAACTGAGGGTAAACCTCACATCCCCTTTCCCTCCTCTGAGGTTAAAGCACTGCCCACACCCCAAAATGCTGGGGAGAAAAACACCTTCAGTCTTCAAACCAGCCCCACTCCACCCTAACTCGCCCAGTGTGAGTCCACCTGAGGTCAAAGGGTGGCTGACCTAAGGTGAAAGAGTAACTCCCATGAAGTCGGTGGGTGCGCTCACCAGCACTCTGCATGTGGGGGTGCGGGTGCTCCTGGTTCCTTCTATCCAGCCTGCCCCCACCCCCACTCTTGGGTGGGTCTCATTCAGTGCGGCCTACCTGGCTTTAGGGCCGCAGCTCGCCCCCACCCTCAATCCCCAGCAGAGGCGGCGGAACTCACGATCATCTTCTTGTAGAGACCGTAGTGCAGGACCAGACTATGGGTCAGTGCCAAGCGGTGAGGCTTCATAGGGTGCCCGGCCCCTGGGAGTAGAGAAGAGAGTTCGTCAGTTGTAGCCCCAGCCTCCATCCCTCCGCGTCCCGAACCCCTCGGGTGCCACCTTGCTCCCTCACCGTAGTGGAAGTTGCCCACGTCCGGGTCGTAGAAATAGGCCACGGTTTTGGCCATGGTGCCGGCGGGACCAGGCCCCGCGCCTCAGCCGCCCGCCCGGCTGCCGGCCCCACCTCCCGTCGTACGTGCTGCGTAAGCACGTCGCCGGCCTCTGCGGAACCGGGAATCCAGGCCCCGCCTCCTCTAGGCCACGCCCAGGCCACGCCCCCTGCGGCTAGTTCTGGGCGTGAGCGTCTGGGCTTGGGCAGAAGACAGGTGGCATCGATTCTAGGATGCCAGGGCCATTTCCTCCCAGGCGGAGGGCAAATCCTCGAGAAGCCGAGACATCCCGTCCAGCCACCTGTCCTAAACCGGGTGCAGGCCGTGGTCACCTCTCTAGAAGGCTCGGGAGAGTCGGCCACACCGCCCCTCTCGGGTGCAGAAAGCCGGCTTCCCCCGGCCACTGGGAAGATTCCTGGCTATCCACCCGGCCGGGGTATCTAGGGGCAGGAGCCGCGCCGGGCGTGCGGGATAGACTAGAGAACACGCTCGCCTGACTGCCTCGCCACCCCACCCGGACCCAGGCTCGGCGCCGCACACTCCCCGGGGGGGGGGGGGGGGGCCGGCGCAGTCACGCGCACACCACATTTGCGTTCACAAGCGCGCAAGGCCCTCGCTCTGCGCCCCGCACACCTGCGCTCCGCCCCCTGGTCCTGGGCCGGCGTCGGGCGAAGGCTTTTGGGAACCCAGGGTGGCTGCGGCGGCGCACCCCATCTCTTCCCCTTTCCGGGGCCGGAGTTGTCGGGAATCTGCCGCTGCTCCCAGCCAGGCGGCATCCCTCTCCATCCTTCCCTCCCCCCCGCCTGCCGCGGCACCGGTATCTGCAGCCGCAGCCCGGAGCCGGTGAGGCGGCGAAGGGGGGAGGGGAAGGAAGAGAGGGATGAGAGCCGGGAGGGCGTCGGGGGCCCTGAGCCGGACTAGGACGCCCCTGGAGCCGGAACCCGAGCAGGAGCCGGAGCCGGAGCCAGAACCAAACCACCGGTACTGGGTGGGCCAGATGGTCAGAATGGGAGGAACCGAAAGGGGGGCGGGTGCTGGAGTACAGATCAGTGAGGGGCTGCAGAGGCCTGGCTCAGGCCGGGGCGGAGGAGGTGCGGACGCTGACTCAGGCGCGATTCTTGCGCTGACCGCCTGCGAATTCCGTCCCATCTCGCTCTGTAGTGTCCTTGGAAGGGACGGGAGCGCAGGACAAACTGGAAAGGGGAACGCTGTGGGCGTCGGGAAAGCGGGAGCAGGGGAAAGGGTCCTGACCAGCACCCCAGGCCCGGACAGCTCCCTGGTGTGGGGGGAGGGGCGGGGTGGCTGGACCTCCGAGGCTTGCCTGTTTCAGATCCTGAGGATGGCATTTCCATCCCTCCCCCAACCCTAGCTGCAGCCCCCAAACCCCGGGAGGCGCCCTGGCCCGCGCTCGCCCCCCAGGGCCTCATGGCGGAACCACAGCCTGACCTGGAGCCACCCCAACATGGACTGTACATGCTCTTCCTGCTTGTGCTGGTCTTCTTCCTCATGGGCCTCGTGGGCTTCATGATCTGCCACGTGCTCAAGAAGAAGGGTTACCGCTGCCGCACATCCAGGGCCTCGGAGCCTGATGACACCCAGCTCCAGCCCCGTGAGTGAGGAGCCTAGAACCCGGCTCAGTCACCTTTTTCCTTACCCTTGTCCCCACACCTCTGTCTGCCTTCCTGGCCAACAAGTCCCAACCAAGCCTTCAAAAAGACCCAGTCAAGTCCCAACCAAGCCTTCAAAAAGCCTAGTGATGCTTCCTTGGGTCAGCAAGTGGGGTGACACCGCCCTGAAAGCAAGGCTAGAGAAGGCAGCATGGGTGGGTAGGGCCCACTGATGGTAATCTTGGGCTCCCATTGACTTCTCATCTTTTCTGCCTTGGCCCCTGAAATGCTAATTCCCAGCACGATGACCAATAGGCACACGCTTATTTCTTGAGCAATAAGCCACAGGAGCCACCTGGTAATGTCCCCCAAAGCTGACTTACTTCCAATTCCTTGTCAACCTTTTTCTTCCTTTAGCTGACGACGATGACATGAATGAGGACACAGTAGAGAGGATTGTTCGCTGTATCATCCAAAATGAAGGTGGGTGTAAGCGCCCCACCCCCCACCCCTGACTTTCTCTTGCCCTGACCTCCACCTCCACCTCCACTGACTCCTTCTTTTCCTTCTCCCCTCAGCCAATGCTGAGGCCTTGAAGGAGATGCTGGGGGACAGTGAAGGAGAAGGGACAGTGCAGCTGTCCAGGTGAGCTGGAAACAAAGGCCAGCATGACTTAGCTTGCCTTGGAGAGTACCCTCTCCTCCAGCACAGTCCTCTCCCAGTCTCCTCGCATGTTTGGGGTCGGGGGAGGGCAAAGCTGGCTGACCTATAGAAAGAAAGACGTTTATATAGAAATCTCAAGTCCTTCAAATCATACCTCCCTTCTGGGTATCATCAAGCTTTCCATTCACCCTTTGTGCCACTCCTTTGGGTTAAGCACTGCCCTCTTCTTAGAAAACAGCTCTGGGAAGGAGAACACGTGATCACTACCATCTTAATATTGAGTTTATTGGATAAAGACAGAAAAGAATGTTGGGGCCTGGGGCAAGTGGGCATCTGGAGGCTTAAGGAGCACGCCGAAAGAACAGAACAAACAGAACAGGAAGAGAAATGGCAATGTCACCCCTGCTCCCTTCCTCTCTACTGTCCAGCGTGGACGCCACTTCCAGCCTGCAGGATGGAGCCCCCTCCCATCATCACACAGTGCACCTGGGCTCTGCAGCCCCTTGCATCCACTGCAGCCGCAACAAGAGGCCCCCACTTGTCCGTCAGGGACGCTCCAAGGAAGGAAAGAGCCGTGCCCGGCCTGGGGAGACCACCGTTTTCTCTGTGGGCAGGTGGGGATAGAGTGCCGCAGCGGGGAGGCTGAGGTGGGGGATCCTGACTCCAAAGGTGGGCCCCACCTCTCTACTCCTGGATTGTGACCTACAGCAAGAGTAGGTTATACAATATGCCCCACAATCTGACATCTCCGCTGCCCGAGGCTAGAGGGAAGTGGCCATCAAACCAAAGATATCCCTGGTTGGAGGGGAGGGCCAAGCAGCCCCCGAGTTGTGATCCTAAGACCCAGTGTTCCCTTCCCTCCCAGGTTCCGGGTGACACACATTGAGAGGCGCTATGGACTGCATGAGCATCATGATGGCTCCCCCACAGACAGGAGCTTGGGGTCTGGTGGGGGGCAGGACCCAGGGGGCAGCCAAGGGTCTGGGGAAGGGCAGTCCAGGGCAGGGATGCCAGCCATGGAAAGCCTGCCCCCTGAGAGGCCACAGCCCCAGGCCCTTGCCAGCCCCGCAGTGCAGAATGGACTCAGGGACAGCAACCTAGTCCCTTGTGCCCTTGGAGGGAACCCTGGAGCCTCTGCAGAGTCACCGCTGGCAGCTGGAGGGAGAGGCCCAAGCCCAGGGCTGGCCAGTCAAGAGGCCAATGGACAGCCAAACAAACCGGACACATCAGATCACCAGGTATAAAGACATGGCCAGGGCTGTGGTGGGCTGAGCTCTTACTGCCCTTTACTCTGGAGATGGGGTGTACTGATATGACTCACACCCTATTCTCCTACTGTTGGCCCCTCCTCTCACTCAGGTGTCTCCAGCACGGGGAGCAAAAGGTGTGTGAGGTAAGTGTGCCTGGGCTTCAAGTCAGATAATCTCATCCTCCCACCCCCTACTTACATTCCTTAAGCCCATTGGCTGGCTGCCTGTACCCCCAAGGTAGACTGCAGGCTTTTCCTTTGCTACATAGTCTTTGGTTTGGTGGTGGGGAGCAGGCATGCGCTCCAGGGAACAGGGAAGGTGCCACAGCCTCCAGGGGAAAGCTGGAATACAACTTGACTGGGAGGCAACACTATTATCCTTCCTCTTCCCCAAGCCTCCTTCTTCATTGCCGAGGAACTACCAGTTGCAGAGCCAGGGGCTGGGTGGCCATGAAGCCCCTCCTTTCCACTGGACAGCACTGCCCCCAGCTGAGGGACCGGTCCTAATCGGTCTCAGCCTGGAGGACACTGGGAGAAGGCACCCACCCCCACCCCCGGCCCTGGCCCTCAGTCCCCTTTCCTTGCCTGCCAACAGGCTGCCTGACCCACGTTCCCCATCACCTCGCTCCATATGCTAGAGTGTGGCAACTGGGATCAGGCCCCCTAAAGCAATAGCACCTTAGGCCCCCTGCCCTTTATTCACTGTCAATAAATCTGCTCAGACCATTACAGTTGTTTCACATAATGGCTCCAACTCCTTCTGACAGGTCCGCCCCGTCCCAGCCCCCAAGCCCTGTGGTCCTGGCATCTGGAGTGGGGTGGGTCACAGAGCCAGGGTAGAGACACACTGTCCAGAGCCACTCAAGACTTTGGGGTATGGGGTCCAGCCCCAGAGATTTCAGGGTATTTCACCACTTTAGAGCTAGAGTGGTGGAAAAAAAAGAAAGGGGTAGTTCAAGCCCTAGAGACAGTAAGAGAATGGACAATGTGGGGAAAAGGAGGAGTCCCAGACCCAGAATTGGGAAAGGGGCAGTTTCTACCCCTGGAGATAAGAGCAGAAATGGGGGGGATTCCAGCTTCTGGCTGTGTCACTCCGGATCACTGAAGGGTGGTCTCTGACAGCACGGAGACAGGGCAGCAGCAGCATCTCTGGGGGGCAGTAGTACCCCTGGCTTCAGGTGAGGGGATCTGGACGACCAGGATCTGGGGCTTTAGCTGGTGGGGGAGGCGGTGGACGCATCTGTAGGGAACACACAGTCAGTGCTCCAGAGGCCTCTTGGGGATGTCCCTGTTCATTCCCTCATCCCTACAGACCAAACAGGACAAGTTGGAATGACCCCTCTCTGCACAGTCTCCTCCAGGGAGAGGCTCTTACCGGCCTGAGTCGAGGCGCCATCATGTCCAGGGGTCCAGGACAGTCCAGGTCTTGGTCTGGAAACAGGAACCACAAGTCAGTCTTCACTGTTTTATTCACTGCTATATCGTCAGCACTTAAGACAGTGACACTCTGTAAATACTTGTTGAATTAACAAATAGTCACCAACTTGGCCATAGAGTCCATCAGTCTATCCATCCTCAACACTTACAGGCACCTACTGTATAATCAGCCTTGCACAAGCTTTCAGAGAAGGGGAGGTGGGAGCCAAAGCACCCCCACCCCCAGTGGTTGCCTGGAACCCAATAATGAAACACAACAAGCACAATGAATGATTGAGTGCTGAATCACTCCAAGTGAGCTATGGAAGGAGGCTCTGTGAAGAGAGTGTAAGTACCGGAAGGCTTTAGCAAAGGTGAACACTTCAAGAAGGAAAATCATGACACAAACCCAGGTGTTTGCAACATTCAAAAAGACTTAAGAGCAGAGGATGTGTATTGGGAAAACGCTGTAGAAGAAGCTGGCTAATTTTTAAAAGAATGAGAACAAAGCCATGGCTTGCCTGCTTGCTATGTGCCAGGCACAGTGCTGGACACTCTACAGACAGCTTTTTAAAAAAGTGATTTTATTAATTTCAGAGAGGAAGGGAAAGGGGGAGAGAGAGAAACATCATCAATGATAAGAGAGAATTATTAATCAGTTGCCTCCTGCACGCCCCCCACTGGGGATTGAGCCCACAACCTAGGCATGTGCCCTTGACTGGAATCAAACCCGGGACCTTTCGGTCCGCAGGCTGACACTCTATCCACTGAGCCAAACCAGCTAGGGCTCTACAGACATCTTTTTAACTCACAACAACTCCACTCTGTAAAGACCCAGACATGTTAAACATTTCACCCCAAATCACACACTAGGGAGTCATGGAGTAGAGTGGGAACACTCGGCCTGGCCTCACAGCCGAAGCTCTCCTCACTATCACGCTTCAATGAGCCTGATGGCAGAGGTTCCCAAGGGCGAGGAGAAGAGCCAAGCGTAATCCAGGCATCCCAAGATTCCTCCTTCCAGCCTCTTTCCCTCCCAAAACCCCTAGTTCCCTCTACTTACCCCCAGACAGGACAGGTGCAGGGGCCCCATCCAAGGCAGAGGTGGGTGCAGGAGGGGAGAAGCTGGGAGGAGAAGGGGACGGCAGCATCTGAGGATGAGGGGGCACAGTTATTTCTGGCACATGGGAAGGTTTCACCAGCTTGTCCTCTCATCCCATCTTCGGTTCCTGTCCCATCACTCCCCAGTACCAAGAGTGCGAAATGCTTGTATCTGGGTGGGGGTTGTAGCTGATACTCATTTCCATAGCCATTGTGTACTGACACTATGTCCCAGGCATTCTGCTAGCACTCCATGTGCACCAATTCATTCACTCCTCACCTCCACCCTATGAGGCAGGGATCTTTACGATTCCTATATTAGGGGCAAGACTCAGATTAAGCCATCTATCCAAAATCAGAGAACCAGTTACTGGCAGAGTCCTGGCTAGAGCCAGGGTCTCCTGACTTCCACTCCTATACTCTTCCCGCTGCATTATAACAATAGGTACTGTATTTTATTTTTTTAATTTAATTTAATTTACTTTTGTTAATCCTTACCCGAGGATATTTTTCCATTGATCTTTTAGAGAGAGTGGGAGAGGGAAATACAGAAACATTGATGTGAGAGAAACACATCGATTGGTTGCCTCCTGCAGGCGCCCTGACCAGGGCCCGGGCTGGGGTGGAGCCTGCGACAAAGATACATGCCCTTGACTGGAATCAAACCCAGGACCCTTGGTCCGCAGGCCAATGCTCTATCCACTGAGCCAAACCAGCTGTAGCAGTTCTCAATCTGTGGGTCGAGACCCCTTTGGTGATCAAAAGACCCTTTCACAGGGGTCGCCTAAGGCCATCCTGCATATCAGATATTTACATTACAATTCATAACAGTAGCAACATTACAGTTATGAAGTAGCAACGAAAATAATTTTATGGTTGGGGATCACAACATGAGGAACTGTATTTAAAGGGCCAGAAGGTTGAGAACCACTGAGCTAGGGCAAGTACTGTATTTTAAAGCACCTCCTGTGGGCCTCCGTGCTAAGGGCTTTACCGCCATTATCCATAGTAGGGATAGTTAGCTTGCTGAAGTAGGTATTATTCCCTTTTGACACGTAAAGAAAGAAGCTCAGCGAGGTCAAACAACTGCCCAAGGTAATGTAATAGGCATCAGAACTCAGATCTATCGAGCACTAAAGTAGCACCACCAAACTCTTAGGAAGACTGCCTTGGTTTCCCTTTTCTCAGCCCAGCCAGAGGAGATGGGGAGGCCCAAGCCACTAATGGGAGGTCAACCTGGAGAGGGGAGGGAGCATTAAGATGAACATGGGGTCTCAATGGAATAGGAGGGTCAACTCAGGGTGCCTCACCTGTTCAGGGTCTGAAGACTCAGAAGGCCCTAGGGGACCAAGCAGCTCCTCCACCAGCAGGGAGGGGAAGACCCCAACATGGCCCCCAAATTCTCCCCTCCAGAAGCCGTCATCCACTCCATCCTGGGCCCGGGGCAGCAGGCGGATGAGTGCCCCCTCAGGGAAGCTCAGCTCCTCTGCGCTCTGTCCCGTGTAGCTGTACAGGGCACGAGCCAGAAATGCTGCAGAAACCCGGGAGAGGTGGTGAGGAGTGGAGGTCGTGGTGATGCCCAGGACCATGACACCTTAGGGTCACAACCACTCAGTACCTCTTCTCCATACCCAGCATCCTTTGACCCAGAATTCTCCTTGCTTACCTGTGGGCTCTGCCCCTAAGGGCATGCTGCTGTCGTGGCTGCTCTCAGGGAAGGAGAGGTCGGGAAAGTTGAGATAGCGCTCAGGAACAAAGCCGACTTCGCTGTGCTGGTTCCGAGCCTGCTCACCCAGCAATGAGAACAGATAATATCCATGGCCCTGACCCTCCTCCACTCAGGCTTCTAGCTCTGCCTGGCTGAGTCCTTGTGGGCCACCGGGAAGTCCCTCCCACTGCCCCCAACTCCCAAGGTCAGAGCCCAGGGTCCATACCCACCTTGACCCATTCGTCGGCATCTCCCTCCTCTAGGACCTCCAGCCACTCGCCTTCTGTGATAGTCAGCTCATCCTCATGTCCTGCCTTGGCCCCACAAGGAAGGATTTAGGACTTGGCTGTCCCCCATCCCTGCCCATCTGAGGTCCCCACCCCCCAATTCACACCTGATAGCCAAAGACCACATGTGCGGGGCAGGGGAAGGGTCTGGTGGCCAGGGCTGGGGGGACAGGCTCCTCAAAGAGCTCTCCAGTCTCCTCACAATCCTCAAAGTCAGAGAGCTCAGCATCCTCAGCCTGGAGGGAGGGGAACAGAGAACAGACGTCACTGTCACTCTCAAGCACCCACTGTATCTCCCTCTCCTCCATCCTCCTCCAAGGTAGCACCACCCATCCGTTCACCAGATGTCGCAAGAAAAATCACCACAGGGCAGGGTAAGACTGACAGTGACTGCAGAGCTAGAGTCCTGGGCGCTTACTATGTGCCAGGCACAGTGCTAATACAGATCTTATTTAAACTTCATCATAACCCACTGTTACTTTGTATAACTATTAACCTCATTTTACTTATGAGAAAACTGAGGCTCAGAAAGGTTAAGTCACTTTCCAAGATCACACAGCTAATAAGTGACGAATCACTTACGGTCTGTCCCCAGAACCTCGGCTCATAACCACCATCCTATACTCAATATAAGTTTGTCGAGGACTCTATGCTATAAACTATGTGAAGAATTATACTTAAGTGATTTCATTTAAGCCTCAGAACAACTCTTTGATTTAGGTACTGTTGTGATTCCGATTTTTTTGGGCCTGCCCTCCACTAGGGACTTTTATCCTCCTGGGTGGGTGTGGGTAGGGAGCAGAAGGAACTCACCGTGGGAGAGAGGTCCCTCTGGGAGAGCCGGGCCTCGCTGAGCCGCTGCTCCTGCTCCACCTCGTCCTGGGCCTGGGTCATGGCTGGCTTCAGCCAGTGCTGTACATCCAGGCCAGCCTCCTGCAGCAGGGCCAGCCGGGCAGCCCCCTTCACCTGGCTCACCTGGCATGGGGAAGGGGGTCAAGTCTCTGGCTGGGCTTGCTTTG